CCGTTATGCAGAGATGCAGGTGCAGAGAGATTAAGGCTTTGGAGAACTGAGGTGATATGGGGGAGGGCAGGGAAGTCAGCAGGAAATAGGATCTACTCTGGGCTGTGCTGCTAAGCTACAGAAAACAGGTAGCGTCTCATAGACTTACTCATGCTGAGTAGCACCTTTCTGCAGTCCCGTGTAAGCCCAGTGGGCCAGATCCCCAGCTGATGTAAAGCTGTGTCACTCCATTGGAGTCAATGGGCCACATCCTCAGTGGATGTAAATGAGCCACAGCTCCATGGGAGTCAATAGGCCAGATCCCCAGCTGGTGCAAATGCCCCTTCAGTCCTCAGACTCTGCTGAGCCCGCTGGGATGCCATTCAGCAGAAGCAGAATGGTCTGAAGAGGCTGAATGAAATCCCAGGCTTGGGAGTCAGGAGCTCGCTCGGAGTTAGGCCTTGGGCAAAATACTTAAGAGATGATCCCATGCTCGCTGGAGTCAATGGAAAGGCTCCCACTGACTGTAGTGAACTTTGGAACAGGCCTTTAACCTCTCCAGGCTTGTTTTCACGGCACAGTCAAAGTTCCCCTGAGTCAATGGCTCATCAGGCTGACGCAGTTAAAGCATGTCAGTTTCACACACAAAGGAGTGATCATGTCCAATTGCCTTTGGCTGCCTTAACCCAATGGGCTAGCTACCCATTTTGCAGCTTGATGAACTGGAGGTGGCCTCTCAGAATGAGATCAAGCAATACTCAAACCCATGTCCTTGAGGGTTGTAATCAAGCGTCTTAACCACTCAGTTATAGCTCCTCTTAATTATTAACTAGTTAATTAATTAGTGAGTTTATGTTCTTGTGCCTGGCCTCCTGCCTGGGGATAATGACACTTATCCTAGCGTGTGGGAGGACTTTATGCATTTGCGGTCTTAAAGATCTTTGGGCGACGAAAGTCCTAGCAAGGGAAAGTCTTGTTACGGGTGGGAATAACAAGGAGGGAAAGAAAATGAAAGACACAGTACCCCCAGAATAAGCTAAGTGGAGCTGAAAAGAGAGATCAGTCATTTCCAGCTATGAGGATTCAGGAAATTCTTGTGTGTGCAATGAATCGTCAGGCCTGGCGTGTGGAGGAAAACAAGGCCAAGAATAGTTGTGCACTCTATTTCCGAATTCTGCCCAAAGGGACACAGACAGGCTAAGCCAACGCGAGGTCTCAGTTCCTCATCAGCAGAATCAGAACAATTTCCCGAGTCGCTGCTGTCTTTGTCCCTCTTTCCCCCCAGGGCAAAGAGGCGAGGCACTGGGAGAGCCCTGCTTTTGTTTTAATCCTCAAAGATGTATTGGTGCTCACGCTACCTTGCCATGTGTGCACGCAACCCCCTGTTGAGTGCAGCATGTTTCCGGGGAGGCAGGAGCAGATTCTGTTCCATGCTGTAGAGTCAACTCAGAGAGGTCGTGAATCTCAAAGATTCAGAAATGATCATTTCCACCTGGGTGGCTCGGGCTGCATTTGTGCAGGAACGATTCTTGTTCTATACAGGGCTGTTGACCGCATGCAGTTCATGCCTTGCTGCCAGGAAACTCACTATGTGATGCCAGGAAGGTGTGTAATAAGCTGTTGTTAGTATTTGTGTTCTGTATCCCCATTGTGCTAGGTGCTGCACAAACCCATAGTGAGAGACACTTCCGGCCCTGAAGAACTGACAGACCAGATGGGGAAAGGAAGGTTTTTATCCCCGTATTCCATCCTTTCTTCTCTAATAACCTTGTTCCTTAGAATGGTTTTCAGTGTCCTGAGTGCTGGTTTCCCAGAGCCTTTATCATTAGTATGGTAGGGGAAGGAAGCGCTTTCAGTTAAGAGATGATTCAGTGGAGAGTTATAGGAAAGCTGGCAGCAGATGCAAAGGAGAAGGCTCTCACTCGGAGATTGTGGGAAAGAAAGTGAGGCATCCAGAACAGAGAGAACAAGCAGGGAAATGGAGTGGCACAATGTGGATACAATTTAGAAATAAGGAAGATAACTTTGGCCCCGATCTTTAAACAAACAAGGTGCCAGAGCATTGGGATGGGAGAAAGGGGTAGAGGAACATTAAAATGCTAGAAATCAGGGAGAAGTCCTTCACAGGAGACTGAGGGTAATAGCAATAGATGCCAAACAGGAAGGCACGGACTGGATTTCCAGTCAATGTGAAGATGGGTTATTTCCTATAAACCCCAGAGCTCACCCACTACTTCATCTCCCTGGTCTCTGCCAGGTACTTTTGCATCCTTTAAAGTCTAACCCCAGTTTGTCAGAAGGATTGTCTGAGTTAGAACAGCATCTGCAGTGCTGCTTGCTGGGATGAAATGATCTGAGGAGTGGGTCTCCATCCTCATGCTCCAGGGCATACACTGGTGACCAGCACAGGTCAGGAACACAACTGGGTGAAATTATTCATTGGCAACTTTTTCTGGCACACAATGAAAATTCAGTAACTCCAAAACCTTTAATGAGTTCATGTTATTTTCACCAAATCGTTTTCAGTCAGGAAAAAAATACACTTTAAAAATTCAGAGAAAATTGAAACGTTTCAATTTTTTGGTTCAAAATGACTTTTTCTTCCAACTTTCCTTTAATTTTATGTTTAAAAAAAAACATCAAAACCATTTTTAAATGATCCAGACATTTCATTCTACCCCAAACTGGCAATGTGTAAATCAAGATTGGATTTTTTTTTTTTAATGCTCTAGGAATGATTTTGGGGCAGTTCTCTGGCCTATGTTACACAGGCGGTCAGACTAGATAGTCATAGTGGTCTCCTCTGGCCTTGGAATCTATGACTCTATGAAAAATAGTTCTGTGTGAATATTTTGATTTGCAGAATTTTTTATTTTTGGTTCAAACTGAATCAACTCCCTCCCTGCCCCCACCCCCACCCCACCCCCCGGGGTCCAATTATTCAGAATTTCCAGAAAATCAAAAAATCCATTATTTGCCCAGATCTGGTTAGGAAGGCCCCTCCCTCCATGCTATAATTATTGTTATTTTGATTATTATTTGTGTTACCCTAGCACATAGGGGCCCTAATCGTAGACCAGGTGCCCATTGTGGTAGGTGCAGTACAAACAGGAGCCGGTGGACACTGTCAGAGGGGGGGCAGCAAAAACAGATACAAGGAGACGCTCTGCAGATCAGGAAATAGTCTGAAAAGGTTTCAGAGTAGCAGCCGTGTTAGTCTGAAAAAGAAAGATTCTACCAGGTTGTCTGTCATTGTGTCGTTGTAAAGTGGGCTGTTATGATGATGAGACATTGACAGTTGCTGTTATTCCTCACGTTGTTCTCTTGCTGTGCAAGGCCCTTTGCAGACATGGCATGATCCCGGCTCCAGAAAGCTTACAACTGAAATGTACAAAATTCAAATGGTTGGAGTGGATGGGGGAATGAAGGGATGGGATATCAAAGCAAAGGGTTGGGTCCTGATGCCCCTACTCCCACTGGGTCACTATACGTTGTCAGTGGGCCATCCAAGGTATGCCTCAGTGGGAATAAAGGGTACCACAGTCTGGTCCAAGTGGTGGGGGTTGGCAGGAGGCTTGCTAGAGCTGATATAGGGAGGAATCCCATTGTCCATTCACATAAACAGGCTTGTTTATGGTGAGATCGCACCGGGAGCTCAGTCGAAGGATGATGAGAGGAGTGAGGAGGATGGTGAGTGCGGGACAGGGCCGAAGGGAGAGGCCTGGGAAGGGGGATTTGAAGGAGAGCCCGGCTGCTGGGTGCATTGGAAAGAAGGAGGCCATCCCAGCTGGAGGGAGCTACAGAGGGAAAGGGATGCCAGCCCAAGTCCTTGCCTGGTGTGAATCATCACTGCTCTAGTGAAGTCAATGGCACTACGTTGATTTATACTGGCGTGGTGCCGTTGGAGCGCAAGGGCAGGGGTGTAGATGTGCGGGCTGTGTCAGCACAGGGCTCGCTGTAGCATTTCTCAGGGAAGCCACATCGACAGACATTTAGTGGCTGAGTCTTTTCCGGGAGCTGGTTGCCATGTCACTTCCCCGTACCACAGCTGTGCCATTCGACTGCCGTGACTTTCCCAGCAATTCAGAGCCCCAGTTGGGCTTTGTTGTTTTTTTCACGAGCTCCCTATAACACGTGCACAGAGGTGAGCCCTAACCAAGCAAACTCCTGTTACGAAGCTCAAGAATAGCCCAGGGCTGGGTTCATTAGCTTCAGAGAGCTCTGCTCTGGTGAGCTTGGGAACTTATCCATAGTTCTATGAAGTTTAGGAGCTCTTCAGGTGATCTGAGTCCCATGATCATCTGAAGGCTTCAGGTGTCCTCCAAGACCTTCAGCTAACTGGGGCTCATCAGACTGATGTGTTCCCCCCACAGTATTATTGGATCTTGATGCATTTGGTTGCGTGGGACCTTCCCACCAAACAAGAAAGAAATGACAGGCCTCTGAAAACATATATCAACATAGCTAAGACAGCGCTAGACAGCGTTAGATCGATGGAAGAATTCTTCCATCGGCCCAGCTACCACCTCTCTGGTAGGTGGATTAACTACAGCGACGGGAGAACCCCTCCCATTGGCATAGTGAGTGGTTACGCTAAAGCACTATGGTGGTGTATACCCTCAGATTGGCCCCACATTTGCAGCAATCTACTCTATTGCACTTGATTCTGTCTGTCCAGCCATCTATCCAGGCATTTATACCTCACTCATTTCTCTAGCATAGCTCATGGCCCAGAGATCCCTCAGCTCTTTTCATGGCTAGGAATCTTACATTGGCCAGAGGTCCCCGAAAGCTCTCAGCTAGACTGCTTGGTCTCCTGAGATCGCCAGCGTCGCTGAGTAACCTGGAGAACTGGCCCCACGTTAAGATCAGCTTCCAGAGTCTGTGGATGCTTCTCCAGAATGGAGCCATTCAGCCCAGGCCTAGACATTTACTTGGGGTGGTTTCCTCTTCTGGATCTCAGTAGTCACCCCGGTGACAGAGATCTCATCCCATTCTAACAGTTTCCATGTTTGTTCCAGTCCAGGCAAATACAACGTCTCCTGCCGTCCCCTGGAACATCACACATGGTGGACACAGGAACACGTCTGCAGAGCCAGGTGAGGACACAGCGGGCAGGCTGGGGGAAGCCCCCTTGTGCTCAGTGTGTCCCTCTCCATATGGAAAGGACAGGACTTGGGGCAGAAGACACCAAGGGTGGGTCCTTAATCAAGGTGATGGACACAAAGACTCTGTAGTCTCCTGGATCTCTAGCCCCAGGCTGGGTCTGCCAAGGGTGGGATTACTGACTCCATCATAGCGAGGAGATGGAGCAAAAGCTGTGATGGGTGAGCGGCTCCAGCAGCACTGGGAGATGGGGGTGCCCAGGTTAGGACGTGCAGTAGCACAGTGACCCCCTGATATTAAGGGAGAGTGGGGAGGTGGGGGTGCTCAGGTTATGCATGACAGCCGCCCAGCACTCCTTGTGCCTCGGTGGGTCTCCTCACTGCTGAGACCAGCTGGCCTGTAGCCGTAGCTCAGAGTTGTTTTTTTGAGATCACCGTGGGGCGCTCACGCGCTCGTCTGTGACATTTGGGTTGAAGAGGAAGGAAGCAGCGTGGGCGGCAGCGTGTGGTGCACCTATCCCACCTGTAAAGAATTCAGCATCGCTCACAAAGAGCAAGGGGTTAGTCACATGGCTTAGCCCAGCCAACGCCCTCTGCCGGAGCTGGGGATTTCTGCACCAGCTTCCACAGCACTGCCCCACACCAGGCCCTTATGGGCCCCACACCCAGCCTTTATGCCCCTCCGAGCGCTGACCCATGCCTTTATGAGCAGCCAGCCCTCTGCCCCACCCCTTATGGGCAGCCACCCCGCTATGCAGGATCCCATATGGCTCTGACCCATCTTGCCCATCCCATGGATTATCTCTGAAATAACGTGTGCTGCCCTGCAGGCCTCTTGGGAGAGGGATCTGTCCGTTTGGTGAATGGCAGCAGCCGCTGCAGTGGTACCGTGGAGGTCCATCATGATGGGCGGTGGATGCCAATCTGCCAGGAAATGTGGGACAAGGAGGCCTCCCACGTGGTCTGCAGACAGCTGCACTGTGGGGAGGCAAAGGAGACAGAAGCTGAACCCACCCCCAGGCCTGTGTGCCCGCCTAGGTCAACACCCACAAAGGAAGCCACCCTGTCCTCTCAGAACCTCTGCCCTTTCCTGCACATCCACTGTGTGGGTCTGGAGAGCACATGGAAGCAGTGCAATGTGTCAGAGCTGTGCTGTAATGGGAAGCCGGCCAGCGTCACCTGCACAGGTAAGAAACAGATCCATCCCGTGTCTCGCAGAGCCCAGGTTAGCCATCAGCAGCTTCTAATGGGAAACCATCCATGCACGCTGGCTGCTCTCCTCTCGCTGCTGCTGCCCTATCCCCATCAGCCATCCGTACTCCATGGTGAGGCCAGTCCAGCTCTACCCCTGCCCATTGGCCAAACCCCAGCCCTCCCAGCTGCCTGTTTCTGGCCCATGAGGGAGTCTTGCCCCTCCACACCTTGCAGGTTAGAAAAATGAGGGGGCAGCAGGTCCTTCCGCCTGTGAGCTCCATCGCAGCATCCCAGGTGAGTGCCCCTGCATGCTACATTCCTGATAAATAATTAAATGGCTGATGGAGCTGAGACCAATCTATCCACCCATTCACTGAAACCAGCTCCATTCATCCATCCATCGACACCAGCTCCATCCATCCATCTAAAAGGGTGTCATAAGGAGGAGGGAGAAAACTTGTTCACCTTAGCCTCTAAGGATAGAACAAGAAGCAATGGGCTTAAATTGCAACAAGGGAGGTCTAGGTTGGACATTAGGAAAAAGTTCCTAACTGTCTGGGTGGTTAAACACTGGAATAAATTGCCTAGGGAGGTTGTGGAATCTCCATCTCTGGAGATATTTAAGAGTAGGTTAGATAAATGTCTATCAGGGATGGTCGAGACAGTATTTGGTCCTGCCATGTGGGCAGGGGACTGGACTCGATGACCTCTCGAGGTCCCTTCCAGTCCTGGAATCTATGAATCTATGAATCCCCATACATAACCTATCATCCATTGAGAGCAGATCCACCCCCCATACACATCTCTTCATCCATCCATTCATCCTTTCCCTTTCTCCCTCCCTGTGCCTGTCTCTCTCTCTGCCATTCCCAGAGCCCATCTCTGAGCTGTGCTCACTCCCCCTTTGCCCTCTCTGCCAGGTTCCCATTCTGTGCGCCTAGTTGGCGGGGGCAGTTGCTGTGAGGGCCGTGTGGAGATCGAGGTGGACGGTGTCTGGGGCACAGTGTGCGATGACGCCTGGGACCTGGATGACGCCAGGGTGGTATGTCAGCAGCTGAAGTGCGGCTGGGCCATCCAGGCTCCAGTGGCCTCCTCCTTCCACAAAGGGACAGGCCCCATCCACCTGGATGAGGTGAGCTGTGCTGGGAATGAATCCCAACTGTGGGACTGTCCAGCTGAGAGGAGCCATGATTGCGGCCACAAGGAAGATGCCAGTGTGGTGTGCTCAGGTCTGTTCCTCTATCCAGAAGAGTGCACTTGTCCTTCTGTCTGTCTGGTGGAACATTACTGTCCATCTCTGTCCAGGGGAGGATTCCTGTCTGTCTGATGGAGAGCATCTGTCTGTCCACTTGTCCATCTGAAGGAGTGCTCCTGTCTGTCTGTCCATCCATTGGAGAGCTCGTCTCTGTCTCTCTGTATGGTAGAATGCTTCTGTCTGTCTGTGTGTTCATTAGAGAGCTCCTGTGCATCTGTCAGAGTACTCCTGTGTGTCTGTCCATCCAGTGGAGAGCTCCTCTCTGTCTGTCCACTAGAGCACTCCTATATGTCCATTTGTCTGGTTGATTGTTCCGGTCTCTGTCTGTCTGGGATGGGCAATGAAATTAGACTCTGGCAGCTTGGGGAAGGGGTAAATCCCTCCTGCCTCCAGCAGGATCTAAACTTCCATCATGGGCAGCTCCTTAATGTCTGTGTTGCATCAGAGTGGGGACCCCGAGGCTGTTTCTTCTTTGCTGACCTGCTGCCCCCCAATCCCACACAGAGCACCAGAAGTGGCGCCTGTCGGGGGGCAAGGACGCCTGCGCTGGCCGCGTAGAAGTTTATTACCGGGGTGTGTGGAACACGGTGTGCGACGGGACCTGGTACGAGGAGGAGATGAGCGTGCTGTGCCAGTGGCTGGGGTGCAGCCCCTCTGGCCGGAAGCTGAGCTTCAACCACACACAGGAGGGCAGGATGAACTACCAGTGCTCAGGGACTGAGCCCTCACTGTCCTGGTGCCGATGGCACTACAACAACTTTAACCTGTGCCACCAGTCCCAGGCTGCCGGCGTGATCTGCAATGGTAACGCTGCCTCGTCACATACTGAACCCGCACCCAGACAGACCCGAGCAGGGATCGAACCTGCAACTCTCAGGAGAAAAAACACACGCTGCTAAGGCTTGAGCTAGGGAGAAGGGAGTAACATCACATTGTAATCTTTGAGACCATGAAGGAGACATGTCCATACATATGCCAGCGGCGCAGCGGGGGGTGGGAGGGAGAAGAAGGCAGACATGAGGGGCGATAGAGGGGATGGATGGGGCGGTAGGACGGGGCAAAAGAGGCGGATGTGGGGGGTGATCCAGGGGACATGGGCAGGGTGGCAGGAGAGGGGAGGGAGGGAGGCGGACGTGGGAGGCGATTCAGGGGACGGGTGGGGCGGTGAGAGAGGGGAGGGTCTCCACCCCAGAATGGGTCTGTCCCTCCAGCCCCACTGACTGTTCTTCTTCCTCTGTCTGTGGCACTCCCCAGGCTCGCTGGGCTTGCTGAACACGTCTGCTGTGCCCTCCACGGAGATGATGACTCCAGATGCCAGAAGTGAGTGTCTGGGGGGCAGACCCTCCCCTCCTTCCTGCAGTGCCTCTCTCCGGATCCGAGACGAGCCCTCCCCCACTGGAGCGGGAGGGGATGTTTGCCACCCCTGCCTGTAGGGCAAACCTCTCCAGGGTCACTGCACCGTGGGCAGCTCTCCTCTGGCGGCACCCATTCTCCAGAGGGGGCAGCCAAAGAGGCCCCTCTCCCCTCAGCAGGATCCCCCCCAAGAGCCGAGGTCTTGGCTTTGAGCTCCTCCTGTGTTCCTGCTGTCAGCGCGCCAGGCGTTCTGCCCCACCCAGCGCCCCCACCCCGGGCACAGCCCTACATGGCGTGCACTCACAGGCCTCCCCCCACTATGGCACCACCGGCAGGGTCAGGGCTGCAGGGAGAGCTCCAGGGAGCTGGACCTGCCACCCTCCTGTGACCTCCCCCATGCCAAGTTTGGGGGGCCAGGAAGGGGCTCATGGGTCAGCCCATGGCCTGCCCCCAGAGAGCTTCCGAGCTAGGGGCCTGCACAGTGCTGGGAACACCCCTGACATCAGCAGGGATGGGGCCCTATGCCAGGCCCTAGTGACAGTTCCCCTGTGCCGTGCGCCTCTCTGACTTGCCGTCTGTCTGTCTGTCCATCTGTCTGTCCCTCCCTTTCTCCCCTCACCCCATTGCCAGGCACAGCTGCGCCACTGTGCTGGGAAGCCAAGGCCCTCTCGAACTGGACTCTCCTCCTCCTCTGTGTCGTCCTGGGCTTTCTCCTCTTGGTCACCGTGCTGACCTTCACCACCGCCCTTCTGAGGATGAGGAGGAAACACGGTAGCTTTGCTGCTTGGGGCTTTGCCAGAGTGAGATTGGGCACTTGGGGGGCCAGGCAGAGCCATGGCCCGCCGTGAAGAGCCGTCAGACAGGCCCTTCTGCATGGGGGAGTGACATCACGGGTGCTGCAGCAGGCCAAAGCACTGGTCCAGGGTGGGGCCATTGGCAGCACCCAGCCATGGGGTGACATGAAACGGGACCAGATCCCCCACTGGTGTCGATTGGCCGTAACTCCATTGGAATCAGTGGAGCTGTTCTGATCTACACCAGGATCTGGCCCCGGTTACCCGCTCAGGGGCTTAGGATTGCTTCGCCGTGGCTTCTGTCCTGTCCCCGAATGCCCAGGCAGCGCGTGGGGTGTCGCTCATGCTCTGCTGAACAGTTCCCCAGAGCAATGGCAGCCTGCAGCATGAAAGGGGGAGCGAGCCCAGCACCAGAGCATAGGACTAGACGGGACCCGCGGGGCATGCAGGACTAGTGCGGACCCCCTCCCAGCCTGGGGTGGGCCCTGGCCTGGCTGAGCCAGGCCCTGTACGGCCTCATGGAGCAACCTGTCTCCTTTCTCTCCCTCTCCGTCTGCAGCCCACGCCGTGTCCTCTTCCTCATTAGCCACCCCGGTCCTGGTGAATCATAGTGCACAGGGCCCGGAGTCGCCCGCAGGGGGTGCCAATGACTACAGGAAAGCCCCCTCCAAAGCAGAAGGTATCAGCTGTTGCTTGGCCTGCCCCCACTGCCCCTCCCCCACACCCTATCTCTTTCTCCCTCCCACCTTCCCCTCCGCCCGCTGCCCCTCCCTCCCACCCCAGCTCTCTGAACAACCAACCTGCTCCTCCCCCATAGCCTCCCACACTCTGCCTCCTCACACCCAACCTCTTTGCCCCCACCTCCCCCATACCCTACCTCTCTGCCCCCACCCCACCTTCCCCTCTCCTCGCAGCCCCTTCCATACTCTCTGCTCCTCCCCCTCCCGAGGCTCCCGGTCCTTGGTCCATGGGGCACTTGCTGGTGGCTAGGAGAGCCGACTGCTTACACGGCACCGGCCCCACCCCAGCACCATTCCCAGTTGCTCCATTTCACCCGAAGGCACTGAGGGACCTGGGCTGGGAGCCATGGCTGTGTGGCCCCAGGGGGTTCTGGGAGGACCGGCAGGCACTGCTGCACACTTGGCAAGCCCTAGTCCAAACAGGTCCCCCAGTAACCGCTTCCTTCATGCCCCCCTAGCAGAGCCGCTGGCCGTGCCCGCTCCTGGCTCCGAGGACTCTGATTCCGACTATGAACACTATGATTTCAGCAGCAAGCCGCCCGTCGCGCTCTCCACCTTCTACAGTGAGCGACCCCCCACACCACCTGCATCATGTGGGCTCTTCGCAGCCTGGGGCTTCTGCCTCCCCATGGGGCCCTACCTTCCCTCACACTGCCCTGTACCAGACTGGGCTGCCCCTGCAGACACAGCTCTGCCAATGGCCCCCCATCCCAACCTGCAGCCACCGCTGCTCCAGCCTTGGGCTCCCCACCCCCCCAGCTCTGTCAATGCTTCCCCATCCTGACCTGCAGCCCCTGCTGTCCCAGCCTTGGGATCCCCACCCCACAGCTCTGCCAGTGCCCCTCCATCCTGACCCACAGCACTGCTGTCCCAGCCCTGGGCTCCCCACCCCACAGCTCTACCAGTGCCCCTCCATCCTGACCCGCAGCACTGCTGTCCCAGCCCTGGGCTCCCCACCCCACAGCTCTGCCAGTGCCCCTCCATCCTGACCCACATCCCTGCTGTCCCAACCCTGGGCTTCCAACCCCACTGCTCTGCCAATACCCCTCCATCCCGACCCACAGCCACTGCTATCCTAGCCCTGGGCTCCCCACCCTACAGCTCCCCTAGAGCCCCTCAATCCTGACCAACAGGGATTGGGGACAGGGATGTATTGGGGTGGGGTCAGAAGGATCTGGGGATGGGTGGGTAGGGGTCACAGGGGTTGGTTGGAGTCAGGAGGATCGCGGGGTCAATGGGTACAGGAGTTGATTGGGCTCAGAGGGGATCCAGGGATCAGGGGGTATGGGGTTGGCTGGGGTCAAGGGGAACTGGGGGAGGGGGGGTCAGGGAGTACTGTTAGTGGTGATCTGCCAGCTCACCCTGCTGTGATGCTGGGCCAGGCGAGGTTTGCTGGAACCCTTTGCCTCTGGTTGCAGATTCACTTCGTCACCGAGCAGAGGACGAGACTCTCCCTGCGAGCGGCTTCCCCCCGGCACCTAGCCAGGAGGTGCTGAATGAGGGCCCGGAGCCCTGGGGCCAGCCAGAGCAAAGGCCCCGTGAGGGTGAGAGTTGGTGCTGCTGACTGGGCGAGTGATAGAGATGGGAAGCACAGTATCAGGAAAGGGGCCCCAAAGCCCCAGCTCCCCTGGTGTTCGCCTCTCCATCTGCCTGTCCTCAGTCCCCATCCGTCTGTCTATTCCAGTGCATGGGGTGGAGCGGAGTTTATGCTGATGGGCCCTCGCTGGGGCAGAGCAAGGGTGGGCCATTTTCCAACTCTCCCCACACCCCGGGCACTGGGGCTAGGTGGACAGGGCCGTGCTGCAAACCCTCCATCTAGCTCCAAGGGGCTCTCTGTAGATTTGTAGCCCCCTGGATGGGGCAGGCTCGGGCACTGCCAGCATTGGTCGGTGGAAGGCTGCGTTAATGGAGAGGCTGCTTCTCTTGCAGAGCCCCCCGCTGAGTCCAGTTCATCCTCAGAGGACAACTACTACAACAGCAGCACCACCAAGCAGCAACAGTGGGGCAACCCGGCCCCTCCTCCCACCGGCAGCCTCTTAATGCCAGCGCCTCCTGCCCACAGCAATGGTGGCTCCCAGCTCTCCTTCCAAGGTTAGAAAGATGGGCCAGCGCCCGCTGGCTCTGACAGCCAGTGGGACCATCTCTGAGCATTGGCCCTTGAGGAGCAACGTCCCAGCACGTCCTCTCCTGCCCCAGAAGAGGGAAGGGGAGGGAAGTCTGGGCTGGGCCCAAGATCCAAGGCTGGAAAATCCAACCCCTTGTGTTCATGGAAGGGAAAATCATCCCAGGAGCAATGATTCCACCCCAACCTGCCCAGCAGGGCTTCCATGTGCACTGGGCCCTGGCCATCCCTCACAATCTCCATGAAGAAAGGCCTCCACGGACCCTCCAGACCCTTCTCTGTGCATCGGTGGGACAGGAAAAGGTCACCCATTGGCCATTAAGTCTCTGACAACGCCCTGACCTGCGTGTCGGGGAACCTCTTCTCTGGGGACATCAGGGCTGATGACCTGGTCTGGACTGAGACAGCTGATGGGAGACAACCTCTGTCCCCTTCCTGCTGGATTCCCAGTATAGATAGTCACACCAATTCCCCTACCAGAAGCCAGGAAATGCTCCTCACCCTCTGCACCAGAAGGGTGAGCGTGTCCGGGGTTGTCTCCAGCAGGGCCCGATGGAGCAGACAGCTCCAGCACCTCATCCGGAGAATGGTATGAAAACTTCCACAGCACAGCGCACCAGGGAGACCAGCCGGGAAACATGCCGGGTGAGGAGAGGATGGAGGGAGCATGGGAAGGGAGCTGCAGACCTACTGCTTGGGGAGCAGGCAGTGGCCCTGTGTTCCCAACAGCGCTGAGCCTAATTATGGGGGCTCATGTGAGATAACCAGATTCAGATCAGGTTACAGTCCACTCAGAAAGACAGAGAAAGAGAATGCAAAAGGGGAATAGGAAAGGGAATGGATAGAGATCAACAGGGGGATGGAGAAAGAGAGAGAGTGAGTAACTGAGGGAGGGACAGACGGATGACTGTGGGGATGGAGGGAGGGTTGACAGATGACTGTGGGGAGGGAGGGAGAGAGGGAGGAATGAGAGGTGGTTGTGGGGATGCAGGGAGGGAGGAATGAGAGGTGGCTGTGGGGATGGAGGGAGGGATGAGAGGTGGCTGTGAGGAAGGAGGGAGGCAGGGATGAGCGGTGGCTGTGGGGGTGGAGGGAGGGAAGGATAAGAGGTGGCTGTGGGGAGAGCGGGAGGGAGGGAAGGATGAGAGGTGGCTGTGGGGGTGGAGGGAGGAAGGGATAAGAGGTGGCTGTGGGGAGAGTGGGAGGGAGGGAGGAATGAGAGGTGGCTGTGGGGAAGGAGGGAGGCAGGGATGAGAGGTGGCTGTGGGGATGGAAGGAGGCAGGAATGAGAGGTGGCTGTGGGGAGAGCGGGAGGGAGGGAAGGATGAGAGGTGGCTGTGGGAGGGGAGGGAGGGAGGGAGAAGAGGTGGCTGTGGGGAGTGATGGAGGCAGGGATTAGACATGGCTGTGGGGATGGAAGGAGGCAGGGATGAGAGGTGACTGAGGGGATGGAGGGATGAGAGGTGACTGAGGCGATGGAGGGAGGGAGGGATGAGAGGTGACTGGGGGTGGAGGGAGGGAGGAAGGGTTGAGAGATGGCTGTGGGGATGGAGGGAGGGAGGGATGAGAGGTGGTTGTGGGGATGGATGGAGGGAGGGATTAGACATGGCTGTGGGGATGGAGGGAGGGAGGGATGAGAGGTGGCTGTGGGGAGGGAGGGAAGGATTAGATGTGGCTGTGGGGATGGAGGGAGGGAGGGATGAGAGTGGCTGTGGGGATGGAGGGAGGGAGGGAGGGATGAGAGGTGGCTGTGAGGAGGGAGGGAGGGTTAAGGGGTGGCGTGTGGGGATGGAGGGAGGGAGGGATGAGAGGTGGCTGTGGGGATGGATGGAGGGAGGGATTAGACATGGCTGTGGGGATGCAGGGATGGAGGGATGAGAGGTGGCTGTGGGGATGGAGGGAGGGAGGGATGAGACGTGGCTGTGGGGATGCAGGGATGGAGGGATGAGAGGTGGCTGTGGGGATGGAGGGAGGGAGAGAGGGATGAGAGGTGGCTGTGGGAATGGAGGAAGGGATGAGAGGTGGCTGTGGAAGGAGGGAGGGAGAAGTGGCTGTGGGGATGGAAGGAGGCAGCGATGAACTACGGGAGTTGACGGGATCCGTTATTTCAGAGTGGCCGGCTCTCTCCCAGCCGTTGGGGAGCTGTGAGCCTGGGAGCAACGACTCGGAGGGCAGCGATTACGATGATGTCCAAGGCCTGGCATACTAGGAAAGGGACATCACTGCAAGTCTGTGCCTCCAGCCCTCCCTCCTGCCTTCAATACAGTGACAGCAAATCAGTGGGTGATAACTGAACCTCACATCCCTGCACTGAATGTGTTTGATTAGCACAAGGTCAGGCTTGGGGGGAAGGTTTGTCAGCGGGTCCCAGAACCAGGCCTGGACTGACCAGCATTTCCCAGTGCAGACCCTGTGGCTCCAGAAGGGGCTGCACTCCTCTACCAACTGACAGCTCTGACCCTGAGAAATCCACGGAGTCCTTCCCAAGAACATCCCCTTCCCAGCCCACATTCTCTGCTGATGCCCAGCTAGCCCTGGTCACTCAGGCCGTAAGTGAACCCCTGGTGTCTGGGGAGTGTCCGGGACTCCATCCTCAGTGCTCAGGACACAGGCCAAGCTCTCCAGGATGGCTGCCAGGGTCATGGGCTCTATTCCCAGCCGGGAAAGGTGCTTGGACACACGGTGATGGGCGCAGCACAGAGACCTATCTGGAGCCCTAGGGATGATAAGGTGGAGGTCAGAAGTCGTAGGGGAGCAGCCAGACTTCTTGGCTCCCTTTCGGACAGTGACTTATGGGGCTGGGTTCAATCCTTGGTATGTAGATTCCCCATGGCAATAACCAGTCCCCAGTGATTAACCTGCAGACAGGAACTGGGGTGCTCAGATTCAATGCACAGGGGGTAGCTCCCCCCCCAGGCCTCTGGCTTCATCCCCACTGGGCAGAAGCAGCTAGGAAGGGATGTTCCATAGCTGGGTTCCAGCAATGACTCTTTCCTGTCGGGGGAGACTGTACATCACAGGCCAAGCAGCCTATGAGATCCAAGCCCCTGGCTTTGAGTGGAAGGTCAGCCTGTGGTTGAGGCAGTGCCTGACACTCAAGAAAGCTGGGTTCATAGAATCATAGAATATCAGGGTTGGAAGGGACCTCAAGAGGTCATCTAGTCCAACCCCCTGCTCAAAGCAGGACCAATTCCCAATTAAATCATCCCAGCCAGGGCTTTGTCAAGCCGGGCCTTAAAAACCTCCAAGGAAGGAGACTCCACCACCTCCCTAGATAACGCATTCCAGTGCTTCACCACCCTCCTAGTGAAATAGTGTTTCCTAATATCCAACCTGGACCTCCCCCACTGCAACTTGAGACCATTGCTCCTAGTTCTGTCA